ACAGCACAATGGCGTAGCTGAGAGGATGAACTGCATCATTGTTGAGAAGGTGAGAAGCATGCTCAAAATGACTAAATTACCCAGGTCATTTTGGGGTGAAGTAGAATAGACAACATGTTACCTGAACAATAGGATTCCATCAGTTCCACTGGAGTTTGACATCCCAGAGAGAGTTTGGACCAACAAGGAGGTTTCCTACTCACATATGAAAGTGTTCGGTTATAGAGCTTTCGCACATGTACCAAAGGAGAAAAGAAGAAAGCTGGATGATAAATCCGTTCCCTGCATATTCATTGGATATGGAGATGAAGAGTTCGAGTACAGATTGTGGGATCCTATAAGAAGAAGGTCATCAAAAGCAAAGATGTAATCCTCCGAGAAAGTGAAGTTGGAGCTGTAGATAATCAATCAGAGAAGCCCAAGAATGGTATAATCCCTAACCTTGTTACCATTCCTTCTACTTCTAACAATCCCACAAGTACAGAAAGGAGAGCCGACGAGGTTGACGAGCAGGGGGAGCAACCTGGTGAGGTTATTGAGTAGGGGGAGCAACTTGATGATGATGTCGAGCAAGTGGGTTGCCCTACTCAGGAAGAAGAATAACCTCAACCTCTAAGGAGATCAGAAAGGCCAAAGGTAGAGTCATGCAGGTACCCTTCCGCAGAACATGTCCTCATCAGTGATGGAGGGGGGGGGGGGGGTACCAGAATGTCTTGAAGAGGTGTTGTCCCATCCAGAAAAGAACCAGTGGATGAATGCCATGCAAAAAGAGATGGAATCTCTACAGAAAAATGGCACGTACAAGCTGGTTGAACTTCCAAAGGGTAAATGACCACTCAAATGTAAGTGGGTCTTTAAACTCAAGAAAGATGGAAACAACAAGCTGGTCAGATGCAAAGCTCGATTGGTGGTTAAAGGCTTCGAACACAAGAAATGTATTGATTTTGACAAAATTTTCTCACATGTTGTCAAAATGACTTCTATTCGAACAATTTTGAGCTTAGCAGCTAGCCTAGATCTTGAAGTGGAGCAGTTGGACGTGAAAACTGCATTTCTTCACGGAGATTTGGAAGAAGAGATTTATATGGAGCAGCCAGAAAGATTTGAAGTAGCTAGAAAGAAACACATGGTGTGCAAATTGAATAAAAATCTTTTTGGGCTGAAGCAAGCACCAAGGCAGTGGTACATGAAGTTTGACTCATTCATGAAAAGTCAAACATACATAAAGACCTATTCTAATCCATGTGTATACTTCAAAAGATTTTTTGATAACAACTTTATTATATTATTGTTGTATGTGGATGACATGTTGATTGTAGGACAAGACAAGGAGCTGATTGTAAAGTTAAAAAAAGATCTGTCCAAGTCATTTGATATGAAAGACTTGGGCGCAGCACAACAAATACTGGGGATGAAGATAGTTCGAGAGTGAACAAGCAGAAAGTTGTGGCTATCTCATGAAAAGTACATTGAACGTGTACTGGAACGCTTCAACATGAAAAGTGCTAAGCCAGTCAGCACGCCTCTTGCTGGTCATCTGAAGTTGAGCAAAAAGATGTGTCCTACAAGAGCAGAGGAGAAAGGGAACATGGCTAGAGTTCCTTCTTCTTCAGCAGTCGAAAGCTTGATGTATGCAATAGTATGCACCAGACCTGATATTGCTCATGTAGTTGGTGTTGTTAGCAGATTCCCTGAAAATCCTGGAAAGGAACATTGGGAAGCAGTCAACTGAATACTCAGGTAGTACCTAAGAGGTACTGTAGGATATTGCTTGTGTTTTGGAGGATCTGGTCCAATCTTGAAGGGCTACACAGATGCTGATATGGCAGGTGATCTTGATAATCATAAATCTACTACTGGATACTTTTTCACATTTTCAAGGAGAGCTATATCATGGCAGTCGAAGTTGCAGAAGTGAATCACACTCTCTACAACTGAAGCAGAGTATACTGTCGTTACTTAAGCTGGCAAGGAGATGGTATGGCTGAAACGATTTCTTCAAGAATTTGGATTGCACCAGAAGGAATATATAGTCTATTGTGACAGTCAAAGTGCAATAGAATTGAGCAAAATCACCATGTATCATGCAGGAACAAAATATATTGACGTGCGATATCACTGGATTCGCAAAAGATAGAGGATGTATCTATGCAGGTCAAGAAGATCCATACAAGTGAGAATACTTTAGATATGGTGACCAAGGTGGTACCAAGAGACAATTTTATGCTATGCAAAGAACTTGCCGGTATGCATTCAAACTAGAAACCAGATAGTATCTCATTCCAGTGAATGGGCCCGGAGGGGAGATTTGTGGGGTCCAACCCATTATTAGAATAAAGAAAGAAGAAGTGTAAGAGGCATGTACCTATGGATAGCCTCATCAGAGAGCCTTGGAGCCAAAGTTTAGATCTGTGGAGGAGAATTAATAATTCTCCTGTAGCATTTTTGGAGACTAAGTTTTGCTCACTTATAAAAGGGATCTCTTTCACTTCTTAAGACACACCAAAAAAAGAGAGAAAGAAAGAGTGAGACATCACAGACACGGTGTAAGAAAATAGTCAATAAGAAAAATAGAGAGTGTGAGCGATATTGTAGTAAGGTGGGTATATCAAAAGAGGGTTATTTCTTATGAGTGTTGTAGTGGTCTTTGAAGTATTTCACTCGGACCTACAAAGCGTAAAATTTCTTGCTATAGTGATATCAGCTGCTCCTCTCGAGGTTGTGGTTTTTTCCCTTATTTAGAAGGATTTTCCACGTAAAAATCTTGGTGTCGTTGTCACTCTTTTATTCTTATTGATTATCGTATCTTGACCAAACTACTCAACATGGCCAGTAGAACTGTTCTGATAAAAGCCACTCTAAGCAGCATCCCAAGTCATGTCATGCAGTTCATAGCTATCCTCACTAAGATAACCAACCAGATTGAAAGGATTCAGAGGAACTTCCTCTAGGGAACCACTCAAGAAAAAAAAGAAAATGCACATGATTAAGTGGGAGGTAGTGACTAAAACCAAGGCTCAGGGGGGGCTAGGGATCCAAAAAGCTAGTTTCAAAAACAAAGCTGCATTAGCTAGTCTGGCATGGAGAGCCTACACTAATACAAACGGCCTCTGGGCTAGAGTCCTTATCCACAAGAACTGTAACTTGCATAGGCCTGCCAATGCTGGGAGGCACCATGTCAGTAACAAGTCACCCACTTGGAGGGCCATGCTAAGTGGTTGGGAAACTTGCAGCAAGGCCAGTAGATGGATTGTGAATAAGGGCAATAGGGTGAGCTTCTTCAATGATCCATGGATCCCCAACCAACCTGCTATTAGACATCTAATTGAGGGACCCCTGACAAATAGGGACCTTCTGGCCAAGGTGAACTCAATCCATAATGGAGGAGCTTGGGACACAAGCTCCCTCTCCTTTGATCTCCCACCCCACATCCTTAACATCATCACTTCAGTGTTTATCCCTAGTGTTACAACTAAGGAAGATACACTAATCTGGGCTCTCACTCCAAATGGGAAGTTCTCTCAGAACTCAGCCTACTCATTCATTCACAACAGTGCTCAACTGAGCCCTCCAGGGGATTTGGGAAACTTCAAGTGGCTGTGGAAGCTACAAGTCCCTAACAAGATAAAGTTCTTCATCTGGTCCCTAACCCACAGGAGACTCCCTACCAGAACTATGCTCAGCTCTATGGGAGTCAATTGTCCAACTCTATGCCAGTACTGTAATGCTGGGCAAGAGGATATTGATCACATCTTCTTCGTCTGCCCAAATGCTGCCCAATTTTGGAATGCCATCAGGTCCAAATCTACATCCCCTCCTCCTACAAACCCACTAAACAGCACCCACCTCTGGCAGACAGTATGGCCAGTCACCAAAGGAGGAAATTTTAATGAACACCTGCACTGGGCAGTTCTCATTCCCTTCCGCCTCTGGCACATTTGGCTAACAAGGAACAACAATGTGTTCAACAATAAAAGAGAGCTTATCAATGCTAAGAACACTATTGCCAAAGCCACTGAATTCCAACTGCTCAAAGGGAGCAGCAACAACACATGTACACACCAAATGATGCTCAAATGGGAACCCCCACCCAGGGGTTGCTTCAAACTAAATACAGATGGTGCAGTCAAAGGCAAAGTTGGAATAGGTGGAATAGGGGGGATCTTCAGAAACCACAATGGTGACTGGATACTGGGTTACATGGAAAACATCCCTCATACATCCATTCTAGAAGCTGAATTTCGAGCACTCATAAAAGGACTCCAGCTCGCAGAGCAAAACAACCTTGTACCACTACACAGAGACACAGATTCTGCAGAAATAATTGGCATGTTAACATAAGGTAATTTGATATTTGACCCTCTAATTTGTGAATGCAGGTTGTTGATTCAAAGGATGGGCAGGGTGGTGGTAAGGCACGCATTCAGGGAGCAAAATAGAGTTGTTGATGCACTGGCAAAGGAAGTAGTAAAAAAAATATTTTCGAACAGATCTGTAGTTTTGGCAGTTCCTCCGGTGTTTGTCAATGATATAGTGTGGGCAGACACCCTAGGAACTGAATTGCCTAGATTATTTTTGGGTTGTAATATTGATACTATACTGCACAATATTGCAGAACTAGGTACCCAACGGTACTCAAGTAGCTCTAGTGTAACAGCAATATCTTAGCTAGTAATATATTCCATTTCGACCAAAAAAAAAAAGATTACTGTATGTTGGTGCTACACTATTATTCCGTTGTTTGTACCGTGAATATTATTTCTGTGGGGGGTTTATTCCCAACAATATATATATATATTTATTCCCAACAATATATATATATATATATATATATATATATATATATATATATATATATATATATATATTAGCTGATTACATCTTTTTCATTGGTATATTCGTTCCATCCATCTTGTTAGTTTGATCAGATACTCCTTGCTTCTGAAATGTTTTAATCAATTATCAATACAAGAGAAGGCTACGTACCCTACAATATTCTATTCCAGATTACTATGTATTTGCAATGCTGAACTCAAACAACTAAACGTACATCATGCGATTTTGTTAAGAATTCTCAGATAGATTGGTTGGCCATGATGCCTATGCACTCTTTATGTGCAGCATCAAATGTTAGAATTGTACTGATAGCATGAATAGATAATGTATATTCTATGCTACCATTATGAATAAGATAATACACCATATATATTATGAGATGCCTTTGCAACTCCACACTAATATCTCATAGAAACTCTGCAATCCTTATTTAGTCTTTCTTCTTTGCTGCTCTGCAGTTCAGGTTGATAAGTCATTGATGTTTACTGCCACCGTTGATCTCTACCTGTATGAATGTCAAAATGTTTCAGTTGATGTTTAATCGGTCAATCAAGAATTCTCTAATTCAAGGATTTAAGTTATATATATTGATGCTAATAGAGTTGCACGTAACTACAACGTAGTTGTTTACATAAGCTTAGATCATATTGTAGTGAAAGAAAAAGGATTTGTACCTCGAATTGGATACTCCTGCAGGCATCTCAAAATTGTGTGGCTCGGGCTGGCTTAGCTGCAGATGGATGGGGGCATGAACTTCTCTACTCACTGTGAAGCGATATGGAGAATTGGTGTTTCCATTCACTGTATTAGCATTCCTTGTACCATAAACCTGAAACAATAATGTAAAGTACTAATAAACTATCTTTTTGCACTATTAGCTTTGACTTTGTACTTATTCAAGGAAACTCTTACTTCATATCAAGTGTTACTACCTTTTTATACAATTCTGCATTTTCTTGTCGAATGAGGTTTACCTTCTTGTAGAGTTCCAAGTTTTCTTGATGTATCATGCTCCCCTATATAAATTCAAAGGAATATGCTCAAGAGTTTTTCAGATCAATGAGTTACGTTCTATTTACTTATTTTCTGATCTATTCTTGACATGATGAAAACTGCTACAGTTTCGCAACATACCTTTTGAGTTAGCTCTTGAATTTCATCCTTTAATATTTGCTCCTATAAAGTCAGAAATGTTAGTTATTCCGTTCCAATAATATTACTAATTAGATAGTATCAGGTTGATTGCTGACCTTTTTCATACGGATGCCCCTTAAGCTCATTTCCAGTTGATTCTCCAGATTTGTTAGGTGTTTTACACCCAGACCACAAAGTTCCTCTCCCATTAATTGCCTGTTCTATCACATGATGAGAAAATTGCCTATTGAGTAATACTTACTTGTCAGTTGTCAGTATAGATGCTAGTTTCAAACATCCATGCAATTTGTTAAAATGATGTGTTAATGTCCAATTCCATGAATTAGCTATATATCCATGAAAGAGTCCAACAATTCATGTCAATTGTGTAATAGTCCTTATATGTTAAGCATTTTTGTTCAACAAACCAAAAAGAAGATGCAACTCTATTGAATCTTGATGTATGAGTAGTTCCTAAGGTATTTTGATGCTGTAATATTCCACTATTCTGAAGTAAAAACATGCATGTCTTGCCAAGAGTAAACATTACCGATGATTTTCTTGCAGGTCGTGTAATTGTTGTCGCAATATCTCTGCCTCCCGCTGCCACAGCTATAGCAAGTACAATGTTGTCAATGAACTATAACTAAAATGAACTATAATGTTTATACAGTTCATTGCTATAGTAAGTACAAGCATTCTACTCCTATATCCGCATATCCTGATTCTATTCACATGAGAATGCTTCGGATTAGCAACTTGAAGTGACCTGCAAAATAGTGTGAAACAGGCCTTACTTTGCCAATATGGCTGTGATTTAAACTATACATATCAGAAATACGAAACACCTTCCTTCTGCTACTTTCTATTTGAAATGTGATTCTCTTCGAAAAGCTTAAATTATTAGTGTGTACGTACTTTTAATTAATTACTTACGAGTTTAAGTTATATATACCATCAGTTTAAATAATTTTTTAGTCATCCAAAGCATATGTACATGTAAGCCTCTTTAAAATATGAGATTTACAAAGTAAGGCATGTTACTTGCTACAACAAGTAAAGATGACCTGATGGTGTAAAAATTTCTTATACTGATGATGTATGTAACTTATACTCATTACTTAATTATATCATGTCTCAACACTATCTTCCCATCTTACTGCCCATTTTTGCCACTGATGTATGCAGAAGGAAATCTTTATTAGTGTTCCCTCATTCTTCACCAATATTCATGTTAGAACCCTCTATACTTCTAAAATCACAAAAAATACTACAACTTTACAGTTGTCTATCCCCGTCAATACGAAGACAACTGTGAAAACTATCATCTTTCCCCTGCTGCCACTCGGTTTCACTTACCTTGTTCAGCTGAAGTTATTAGAAGGCTTATTGGAACTATGCCTGTAAATGCTTTCTTATCACAGTAGATAAGACTAGGTTTTCCCGATAGAAAGATTTGTATGGCTTAGTGTGCAAGAAGAAATCACACATGGTGTAGAATATGTTATTAACATACCTACCACCAAGTTTTTGTTTCTGTATTCAATACCAATATGATCAGAGAAGGTTCAGAATAATGAGAACCTATATACCCTCCATCTCTTTTGAAGAGGGACTGATCATTTTACGGTTCAATTTTAAGGAGATCCACTACTTCATATTCCAAGCATACTGTTTCGGCCAAGACAAACGAACTACTTTTCAATGGAATTATGTGAAACATCAAGTGATTTTTTGCTGCTATACATGTACAGGTTTCCAGGACAGAACTCTATTAATCTAATTCTTTGAGCCTTAGTTATCCTAGTCGCTAAATGTAACCGAGGAAATGTACATATTTGGGAAGTTTCCCCTTAAACCTTTAACAAGACTGACAAAAAAAGACCTCAACTGGAGTAAACCTATAACTGTAACATGATTTAGCAGCAACACTGGTTATCTCTTAAAGATGGTCACTTGAGTGGCAGAATAGTAGTCTTCACAATGTAAGACGAATTCTTGTACTCTGCCGTTTTCTCTGGCATAATTCCATTAAAAAATAGTTCGTTCCTCTTACTCGTGCAAGTATTGGAATATGAAAGGTCAAGGTAGAGTTTGCTAATGCGCCATCTAGTTTTCCTAATGTCTATCAAGGTATCAAGTCCCTGCAGCTATGTTTTTTATTTGAATTAATAAGTTCTTAAAGTTTAATTATAATCCATAACATACTGATCCTATTTCAGCTGTTGACAAAAACCTATTTAGCTAACTTCATAGAGTACATTTAAGAAGAATTAACGTAAATAGCCACCCACCTAATCTCTTAAACTAACAATAGCCGACAGATGTATAATATATGATAATTCATGTATAATATATGTCTAACTGTGTATAATCTATGTATACCCGCTAGAAAAAGTAAACATTACATATAGATCGCTATTTGCGTAACAATAAGAAATTAACTAATTGCAATAAATTTTTCTTGTCATGAAGATCAAGATTTTCAGTTTAGAATGTGCTGATGATTTTGTGGATAAATACTGAAACAATACCAGAGCAAGATCATCTAAAGAGATACTCTACAGTAGAAGTTCATATAACTGTAATACTTCTGAACATATGAACAGATTTGTATAGGGTCAAATTTAACCCTCAGTATCTCTACGCCAGCGGGCGCGCCTAATGAGTGTACGCTGACCAACGTAGCGGGTACGACTCGGCCGTGAGGACGAAAGCGGCGTCGTTTAGAACTCAGCGTCTACACTAGAAAGACGTTACCTATCTCTGTAACTTTTTGATTCTTTCGAGGAAGGTCTTCTATTGTATAAAGGAGACCTCCATATTGTAAAGAGGGGGCTATCTGATCTAATACAACTCTGTCATTTTCTATCTTTGTCTCTCTATATCTCTACTTCCGATTAATATATCTTAGGAACATACATTGTCATCCTTCTAACACTGGATCTATAACAAACATTATCATCTTTGCATCTCTAGGATTATTATATTTGATTACGATTTACCCTTCCTCTATTTTTTGATTGTTTTATCGCTTACAAAGTGCATCAACAACTTTTAAGCCAAACAAGATTGTTAGTGATAGGCTGATAGCTAGTGATTGAAAAGAGAAAGGAAGGTAATTAGTTGTTCCTCACTGATAGAATACATAAGAAAATACATTTAAAGGTATTGTAGATACCTGTTTATACCACCAAAACGAAATCATCATCAATTATCATCAAATTTATCTAAGCTCTTTTCTTCTTTTGTCACTTTCTGAAAAATTCACAACGAATTATGTCGGAAATTCAAGTCTTGTTGAATTTGAATTTCGTTTTGACTTTGTAAATTCTGAAGGAAATTTACTATACATTACTACACCAAGTGACAACATAGTGGAGGTATAGGTTTCTTAAGGGCAGTGATTGCACTAACCTCGGGATAATTAATCCTCGGATAACTTGTTTCCAAACCAAACGATCACTTATTTGGTTTGAATACGGCTTATGCTGGGATAAGTTATGCTGGGATTAGTTATCCTGGTATTATTTTTTATCCACTATTTGGTTTGTTGTATTAAATATAACAATTGCATAATTTCTAAGAAGAAGGTATAAGTTATCCCGCCACTAATTACCCCACCCCCTACAAGGTATAAGTTATCCCGTACTAATTTTAATTCAGGGATAACTTATACCAGGTTTGCTAACCAAATAAAGAATTAAGGAGGTATTAAATTTTTATACCAGCACTATTACTTATACCTCATACCAAACGACTTATAGTGTAAAAGTTGTCCCATGATCAGCTAATACCCCAAACCAAATATGGGATAAATTAAAGTTAATTCTAAATTCTATCCCGAGATTATTATCCTTGTCCCATGTGCCAAACGACCTTTGATAGTACTATTTAAACCCCCCCCCCCCCCCCCTCTCCATATCTTGTGTCTCCACCAGAAAAATTACTAAGTTATACTGTCAATTATAAAATTCTATTACAGTTCTTATTATTGGAAGATTATTGCTTTCATACAGAGAAAGGCTGCAATCATCAATAAGATTTTCATTTCCTTTATTCTCTCAATTTATTTCCTTATTATTATATGTTCTTTTATCTTATCAATTATACTTGAAAAAGTAAATCAACTCCGGTACTAGAAACCTCAAAAATTATTTTTTGGGTTAAACATGCGTCTTTCACTAAATTCCTACATGCATATTTCCAGCACTTACATTATTCACTAAAACTACCGCACTAAGAGGAGTAACTAGTAATGAATGAACTGATAATTATTTAGGTATGAAAAAGTAGCAGAAGGAAAAGGTTACCTTCAGTTCCGACGCTGGATTGTGCAGTTGTTGACGTTCGTCCTTAGTTTTATTGTATCGTTCAATAACTGATTTCATGCTGCCATATGGAAAAGATAAGAAACGGTCAATTTATTATTGTTTATATGTATTTGACTATATATAAAGAAAAAAGATAAATCAACTTATATGCATTCACGGTGTAGATAATTTTTACACTATCAGTGTAGTTTAATCAACATTAATAGATTGCATGTCTTATTTTTCAGGTAAATAAATAATTGAAAAAATGACATTGTATAGCCGCTCTCAAAATAATAGCCGAAAAAATATACTATTGTTATGAAATAATAAAAGAAGAAAGAAGAGTATTGCAAAGAAAAGCAGGGAGAGAGAATTCTTATTGATTTGGGGTGAATTACAATGGAATAGAACCCTCTATTTATAGGGAGATGGTGACTTAGCCACCAAGTAATAAACCCTAGAATCTCTCTAAATATAGACATTCACCATAAATAGAACTCTATTTATAACACTCCCCCTGAATGTCTATTCAACAGATAATGTGCCTCGTTAAAACCTTAACTAAAAGAAAACTCAATGGAAAAAAAAATTCTAGAAAAGGAAAAAGAGTACACATGTTTAGAAATGCGCCTATTGGTTGCCTCATTAAAAACCTTGCAAGGAAAATCCAGTGGGACAAAACCTTGTAAGGAAAAAAGAGTGCAACGCGCATTAACTCCCCCTGATGAGAGCGTCAATTCACATCCTTGAGCCTTCGCATCACAATTGTGCACTAGCTTCTTGAACGTTGACGTCATCGGATATTTGATGAATCATCCATATTAACTTTAATGAATATGTTGCACCTTGAAAATCCTCGCTATCACATTATCATGCTTATAGAGAATTAATAATTCATTCCACGTAAATTTTTCTCAACTGTTTATCATGTCTCCCCCTCATGTTAGAAAAACTAACTTGTTTCCTCAACTTTAAGAACTCATCTTTGTGCGTTATGGTGTTAATTAAAATATACACCACACATCAATAATAATAAGATGGAATTATTTGGTTCCTGACCATGAACCACTTGTGAGGGGAGAAATTAATATACTTTCATATATAACGTATATCAAACTGATATATAAAACTTTGTTCTCATAAGCAATTGTTTAGCTATTAAGTGGAGGCACTCAATAAATCATTTTTGCTAAACCAGCTATGATGTAGACTAACTTATCAAGATGAACTTCTTGAATAGAAAATCTGGAATATGCTCTAAATTAAATTATTGAGCAAGTTACCTCGCAAATACCATGTTGCGGGTCAATAATAATCGCACATGTAACTATCTCATAGATGCATCTTATGTGGTATACATGGCAGGTGAAGGGGCCCATATTCACCTTTGATATTTCCCGCATTCATGAGATTCAATCCCAATTTTAGTTGGTATATTAATTAATGAGAACATGCAACATAAAAGAATTCGTAAAGAACTTTCTCGTTCTGTAATATTTACCCATGTGAATTCTCTTTTATTTTTGCACATCATACTTAAATTAATATGGATAAACCAATTATGCCAACTGAATAAATTATCGATATTGATAAACTTCAGATTTATGCCATGACGTGTGCAATTATCAATAAACTCCAAGTTTATTATGATATGGGTTTTTATATCAATAAATATCCACTTTATTGTGGTATTCTTTTATTTATGTAGTACAAATTGGAGAATAAAGCGGGTAGCTTTTCACATACATATTACCCCGCTACAAGTTGTAGTAATAGAAGATATTAAATCTTTCTTTTATTTATAGTCTCAATATAATCAACCGCTTTCGCGTATACTTTGGAAACTGAATAAGTTTCTTTAAGACTTACTACAACACAATACCTTATTGGTAATTAATTGTGTTTCTCCAAAATAGTATAATTGGCTCTTGCAGAGTTCTCAATTAATTTTGTAGTACCACATATTCATCAACATCCATATGGTGAATATCTCTTTTAAAGAGAAAGTTATACCATTATGGTTATGGTCAAAATTATATGCAAGATATGTTTCTTGCATTAATGTTATTCTTTAATAATCACATTACCAAAATATTTTGGCGAACAATAGGTACGTGATCAATGACCATTCATGCCATAATAATGACATTGTTTTCTTATATCATCTCAAACCTCCCTCTAGAGGTGAGTGTGGTATATTCACTACCACTAGCACGTTCATATTCTTCCAAGAATGAATATGTATTCATAAATAAGATGTTGTCACATTCACATCATGAATGGACCATAATCATCTATATGTGCTTTATAAAATCTCATGTCAAATCGATGACAAATATTACTTTCACAGAGTGAAGGATTATTTTGAGAATCCTCATTATTCTCATTATCACAATGATGGCGATTATAATTTCGTCTATTGCCACGTCCACATCCATTGATACCTTCACGGTAATAATTTTGTCTTCTTTCAGACTTGTCACATATTGCTATCACATTCTCTTAAGGGAATGAGAATGAAGCAATTTCAATGGGACGGGCTTCCACTTCTTGTGCTCACAATCATCAATAAATTTGATTATGGCAAGCAATAGAAATTTTACCACTTCGGGTGTTATAATTTCTTACAAACTCCATTAGAGTTATAATCAAACTTTGTTGTCTTTGCTTGTATTTAAAATCAAAGTATAGAATAAAAGAGAAAAATACGGTAAAATACTTACCTTAAATCCAGAATTTAATCATGAAGGAAGTTCATGGAATAATTGACAATTATTATGCTCAATTCCAAAGCTTCTACTCAATTGGTTAGAGTGTCGTGCTGATAACGTGTTATGAAATAATAAAAGAAGAAAGAAGAGTATTGCAAAGAAAAGCAGGGAGAGAGAATTCTTATTGATTTGGGGTGAATTACAATGGAATAGAACCCTCTATTTTTAGGGAGATGGTGACTTAGCCACCAAGTAATAAACCCTAGAATCTCTCTAAATATAGACATTCACCATAAATAGAACTCTATTTATAACAACTATATATATATATATACATTCTGTATGTTATATACAAAAAATATACAAATTTTATTACACTTTTTGGCTACCAAATATAAATAGTTTCTGGCGTGGGCTAAAAGTGAAAAAAGCCCTTAACAACTTTGAATACCTTTTTATCTCCTGTTGTTCCTAAATAATGAAGGAATTGGTAAGTTCCACTGTTAGTTGAACTTTTTGATAGTGTGATCACTATTTAAAGGAAATTTATGTTCTCATTATATATTGTTAGTAAGTGTAAGGTAGGATTATTCAAACTTTATATAGCCTAAGAAAATCCAAGTTCAGAAAAAACTTAAAATTTGTGCAGTAACAAAAATTGAATATTTTGGATAAGAAGAGAAGGAAAATTTTGATTGTGTATATTGTTATCTAATTTAACATAATACTCCTTCTGTCTCAATTTATGTGACACTTTTCGCTTTTCGAGATTCAAACCTTTTACTTTTGACCATGCATTTGGACATAGAATCTTTTAATATTGAAATTAAAAATTACATATGTAGAAACTACGTAAAAAGTACTATAAGTCACGATAAGTTAATAATTAAGAATATTTAAAAGACATATCAAAAAATTACAGTCAAAGTGTAATTCGTTTGACTGTCGAAATCGAAAGACCTTCACATAAATTGGGGCGGAGAGAGTAATAAAGAGATTTGAATAAATTAAAAGATATATCAAACAAATTATTTAATTTCGCTCTATATTCATTATTATTGTCAACTTTGATTTTCCTCCAAATATTATCTTTCAAGTTGTAAAACAAGTATTGCCTTTTGTATTATGCTATAAGAGACAACTTGCAATCTTTTCTTTTCTTAATCACTAACTACACTATAATGTCCCACTTAAATATTGATTGATATATATAGTTATCCAAGATATATGCATATAATAGCTAAGTGCGATTGATATAGTGATTGAGCCAATTACTTGTATAAACTTTACAAGTCCTTGTCAAAATGATGATGGTTAGATAACATTCTATTGAACCATAATTTCTTTATTGACAAGATGGAAAAAATGAAAAAAAACAAAATTATCCCTATTGTTTAGTAAATAGTTTACAGATACCCTCCGTCCATCTATCAATCTAAAAATATACACTATGCTTATATATTAATCCCAAAAATACACATTACGTTAATTCTATAATAAAATTTCCCACGTCTAACGAAAAAATCGGGGCATTGCATCTATACCCAGTTTTTGGGTCACAATTTAACTTATACCCGCTTTGCAAAAAAAATTGCAATCGCACCCGCTTTTCGGGTAACTTCAGACATACGGGGCCTGAAGTAGCAAGAATTTATGTCTGAAGTTTGAACTTCAAATTTTTTTGCCTGAAGTGTGACCTTATCAAAGTAAAACTTCAGATATTTTTGTCTAAAGTTTAGCCTGACTTGCAAAAGCAATCAAAAACTTCAGTTCGTAGTGCAAGCTTCAGACAAATTAGTCTGAAGTTCTTCAGTTTGTAGTGCAAACTTCAGACAAATTAGTCTGAAGTTCTTTAGTTTGTAGTGCAAACTTCAGACAAAATCGCCTTGTCATATTTGAACTTCAGATAATTTTTCCTGGCATGATAGTTGCAAACTTCAGATAAAATATAACCTGGTAATGTCTGAAGTTTGGCCCTGTAGTCCAAACTTCAGTTGATGCTTCTTCAAGTTTTGACAATAAACTCTTGTTTTATTATTTACGTACTTTGTGTTGGGATGTATTAAAGTTTGAGAGGTAGTGGCGAGTCTTTCTTTCTTCTTGATTTGTCGCTTTGTCCTATTTTCAGAAACGATAATATGTATAACTTACAGGATAACAACTTTGAGAGAGAAAAGAAGAAGAGGAGGAGGAAGAAAGGAGCGCATAAGTCGCAGGATCTGAATTTGTCAAAAGTAGGGTATATGTATAGATTTAAAAATTCGGGTATAGGTTAAATGGGGGTGACTAAATAGGGCGCCTCATGGAATTTTTACGAAAAAATCAATGGCCCTTCAATTTATGATTGGCCACATGGCAATCTTGGGCTGAAACCAAACCTGGGTATAACCCCGCTCCATTAATCGGATTCGACCCTAATTTTGTTACCACACTCACTCCTACTCACTAGACTACCCCTTTTCTTCTTCTTCGGACATAAACCTCATCTTTGGAAAACGAACATGCCAAGAATCAAAGAAGGTATGGAAAATAACTAGACCCTCTAGTTTCAGCCGATTGGCCATATTTTCTCTCATTGTTATCAGTCAATCCTTCGCCGGCCACTCAGGTGACAGTGACCTCACCTCCATTTCCCTTGGCACGACCCTCTTCATATCCAATACCTTTGGCTTTTGGGTATGTTATTCTTTTTAGAAAATGGGTGGACTTACGACATTAATAAAATATTAATACCTAATTGTAATGAAATCATGTAGCATGAAGGTAGCAAAAGCATCAAGAACAAGCCAACAAATATCAATTGCGTTTGTCGACCATATCTGAAAGATTTTGGTCATGTTCAACTACATGTCGTTGTTGGTTACTATTTTAGGCTAGGAGATTCGATGATCACCGTCACCGGTGGTGAAAGAATGGTATCGGTAGTAGCATCCTGGAGAGAGACAGAGAGAGAGGGGGGTTCTGAAAAACATGAGAAAAAGAGAGAGGCAGAAAGGTGCAGGTATATGCAGGATTGTCAATGGAGGCGGCGATTGGCCGGTGGTAACGCTGACAGTAGTTGTGATGGAGGAAGAGAGGCTGGGAAGAGGAGTTTTTTTGGGTTTAGGTGAGTGTGTTGAGTGATAAGGAAGAAAGCAAAAGAAAAAAATAATGAAGCGGTTCAAATAAATAGTGCAGGTATTATACTCACGTTTGGTTTCAGCCTAAGATTGCCACGTGGCCCAGTAATTAAAACAATGTCACATCATTAAATTAAAGGCCCACCAGTTCTTCCATTAGACATATGGGCAATTTTATTAATAAAATTAATATCGTGTGCATTTAGTACTGATAGATGGATGTAGTGTGTATTTTTGGACTGATAGATGGTTGAAGGGTATATGTAAACCATATATTTACCCAATAATAGAGATAATTTTGACCCTTTTTCGTAGAAAAATTATACACAATAATCATATACAGACTTCAATTCGTGTCAACGGTGAGCTTTAAGCACCATATATATAATGACCTTTTGCAACTTCCTGATTTCATACACACTTACAAAGAATTGTTTCCCAAATTTTGATTGAAGCAGTACCACCTTTTGTGCTTATATAGATGAAACTTTAAAGAGGTCCTTAATAAGTACTGCAATTTTCAAAATTTGCAAACAATCACAAACTATAGCTCGCTTTTACCTCTTAAACCTTTAGTAATATTGTTAATTATATAATAAGAAAGGTAAGGTTCTTGTTACGAGTGACAAATAAAATTAATTAACTACCTACTTAATTAGACTTAGTGTTTTTATCATACATTACTCGAAAGTTCTTTAGTTAACGGATTAGTAAGGTTGTTTTTAGACTCGAAATCATAATTCTACTGATATTTCATTAGAAATCATTTGTCTTAAGTACTCATGTATTAAAGTAATATGTCTAGACTTTTTATGACAGTGTAAGAAGACAGTTGACAATTTTGCCTACAACTCCATATCTAGCAATAGATTTCTCAATTACTCTATTTCGCTAAACGCACCTGCTTATAAAGCAACGAGCTCAAGTCCATTGTTGGAGTTATACTAGTTATCCAACTAGCATCATAATATCCTTTCAGTATTTCATGAAAATACAATTACCATATATAAAACAAGGTAGTAAAAGACTTTGTAATTTTAAGGTGTCTTACTATACCTTTTCAATGAGTATTACTATGATTAGTAGTATAACCCTCAACAAAAGCAATACATGGCCTAGTGTAATGTATAACATACATTAAATCCGAGCAATTTATGCATAACAAATATTGTACAATGTATATATTGCTTTGTAGAATACTATATGATGCATTCATTTTTCCTATAACATTACTATTTTAGTTCGGATAGTATCATTAAGTAAGAACTATCACTATGTATCCAACCCTCTATATATCATTAAAGAAAAACTGAAAAAGACCAATTTTTTGGTCATTTCACTACTGTGTCTGCCTTCCGGAAAGAGAAACTGATCAATTCGAACTGTTTGATTCCTGGTTTAGGAAACAGTAAAAACTGAGGAGATTGGGGGGGGGGGGGGGGGGGGGGAGAGCTTCTTTAATAGGATCTGATGATAATCATTAGGACTCGTATATTCTCTCAATATTTTCTTTTGAACAATTAACAGCAAAAAATAAGGTGGAAGCAAAATGGCATCACCATTCAATTATATTAATCAGTATATGCTAGTGTTTATCCTTATTAACCATTTAAATTACATAAGATCATGTCTTAGAGTTCCAATATGTGTAGTACGGTTAAACTTCTAAGCTATTTTTTATTTCATGGAATGATTAAGTATATAAGGTCTAATTAATATTCTTTTTAGAACATATAGATCATGATATATCTTAATCAGAAGCTGTTAAGGGAAAAGAAAGGAGAAATCTTTATATTATTTTTCTTAAATACTCGATGTTTTTCCGATTAATTTGACATATATCTACAAAATAGGATCCAATAAACAAAAATATTTCCAACGAGAAAATGAGGCAATATATCTTAATAATACTTTAATACCTGGTGTTAGAAAACTCATAGAGCTTCCCAGTACTGGAGAAAATGATCAATCCAACTTCAGCATCACAAAGAATAGCAAGCTCCTTAGCTTTCTTCAATAATCCATTTCTTCTCTTAGAGAAAGTCACTTGCCTGCTCGTTGAGTTATCGATCCGTCGGATCACTATCTTTCCCCTTCCCATCTTGATACTTATTCTAGGGTTTTGCGAGCTCTAATAATAGATCAGAAAAGAAGAAGAAGAAGGAGGAGGAGGAGATTAATTACAATTAGATCTTAAAGTAAAAAAGATTAGTGTAAAAGAGGAAACAAAAGGAAATAAAGCTTACTTGGGTTGTTGAGAGAGCAATTAGGAAAAAAATCAAATCAAATTAAAGTCTTCTTTTAGAGTATGTTGTGACTAACATCAAAATCAGGAAGCAGCCTTTTATAAGCGAATGAGAGAAGTTTGAAACCGCTTTTGGTATTCGGAACAGCTTGGAATGTGGTTTTTGCACCTTTGTTTTTTTCTCATTTTAATTTTAGTTTATATACTTTATTGGTCTCTTAAATATTTATAAGTTGGGAAGTGGCATTATTTTTTTATGCCGCCGTCGCCGTATAATTCACTGACGCGTGGGGAATCCAAGACTTTCCTTAATAATTCTAAAAGGTGAAAAACCATTTTCCCATTTTAGTAACCTTATACTTGAACTGAAAAACTTTTACTCCTTTAGACTTTTGGACATCATGATAAACAGCCTGATCTTTGGCTAATTTCAAGAATTTTCACGTGACCTTGCTCCTTAGGACATCTTTTACCTCCCTGTCAAAAAGGTAAATGGGACACTTTTACTATACTACTATATAATTCTCTTTTCTTCTCTTTCTATCTAATTCCTTCATATCGTCTTCTTTAATTATCTTCCTGATCATCTTTTTTTCTATCCTCTTTTCACGTCCAATATTTTAATTTTCCTAAAATTATGGCATGCAGAAGGAGCTAGTTACATTAAAAATGAGTGGAAGAGATATGTCTACTACAATTGATCTTATAGATCATCAGGCAGATCCAAATTGATTATCTTTGTGTTTGGATGGCTTTCTCTATTTTTCCTTATAAAATTGGAAAGTGATTAATTACGAAACCAAAACTGTAAAGAATTACTGTATGGCAAGATAAAGTTTTTTAAGGAGTTCAACTATTTACTGGTAAATAAACATAATCAATATGCTGCTAAAGTAATATGCTTTCTTCCCAAAAGATAAAGGATACACGTGAAAATTATGTATATTTTAATTTGGCTGTAAAGGAAAATCGTTAGTAAACTGTATTTGTAAAATAGTTCTGGAAAAGATAAAATAACAGATAAATAGAAATGTAAACGAAACAGAATTTAATCCGAGCCCACTGGATTCACAATGTTTCCTTAAGGAATTTAATCCCCTCCTAGTACCCAAGGTTGTGGATTATTTCCTCCCAGGATAGAACGAATTACACACTGGTGTAGTGGTACTTCAAACCCCAGTGTTCCAGCGAACACAAAGGTCAGTAGCAAATCACGCTTACTGTTGCTTACATAGTAGATGGCCATATACGCAAATTAAAACGGGCAGAGGAAACGTTTTCCGTTACAAAAAAACGAACGGGCAGAGTCAATGAAATAGATAATTTGGATTATTGATCTTCCGTTACAAAGCCGAGCGACGACGACGGCGCGAGGCTTGCCTTCTTCTTAACTCTTTAAGAGCTAAAAGAAGAGCAATTGTATATATACCCATCAAAAACCTTTTCCTCTTCCAATATGGGACAATATCGCTTTGTCAAGGAGGGAATCTCAAATATTTCATTTTCCTTCCATTTCCCATTCACCCTCTTTTAAGCTACATTAAGCTTAAAAAACCCAATAAAAACTTCTCATTTCTTAAATTCCTCCCCTCAACAGTGTTAATATATCTTCATGTCCACTCTACACAAAGTGCTTCTACTGTAGTAAACTCACAGACATATTTGTAGAAGCTATTCCGCAGTATGGTATTAGGATAAAGAAAACGAACACTACGCAGAAAGAGATAAAAATTGACAACTCCTATTACTACGTTCTATACTAGGGTATATAATTTTTAAAAAAAAATCAGGTACAAGTTCGTTCATTTACAATAACTATCAGAATCTACTGCCTCCGCGAGGATTTACCACATGAGAGAAATAAACATGATGCATAAATTAAAGTTTATTGATGGTAAATCTTTCTAGTGTGTGCATGTGCGCGCGCGCCCGTGCATGTGAGAGGAGGGCACAGGTTTCCGTTGAATTTGCTCCAATCTAGAGGGACTGAGGCTGCTTAGATGAGTTTAATAAGTCTATAATGCACTGGTAATTAAGTTGGCAGATGAAATAATCAAATTTCTTTTACTACTACATTTTGAAGGGCTATTAACAAGTTGCGAAAACAGTTCTGCCAAGAAAGCTGAAGGGTATTTTTCTATTGCATTAAAGCATCAGTTTAATAGGGTTTTCCATTGATGCAATCTTATTTCCTTATTTCAGATTTTTTTCTTCTTTTTCTTGCGTTCACAGACATAAAAACAGAATGGGGTCGACAAACACGTGAAGGATACAAGTGAGGATTCTCCTATCAAGAAGAAATGCGAAGTACATGGAGTGCACGCCTGTATTTCATTATTTTCTCGACCTTAACACTATTGGAAGCAAACCGTACTACCATTACGACATCCGTATTAGTTTATTGTATTTGTCTTATCAAAAATTCCTACACAGTTACTATATGATTTCGACTAATTGCTACTTTTAACTCAAATGGTTTCTATTATATATATTATTTTGAGCAAATATTTTTAAGTTTGTTTACCCTAAAAACGGATAACAATTAAATTTGTAAGTGGTTTTAAGGATACGCGGATTAATTCGATACAAACAGTAAATTACATTAAGTTAAACAGATAAATATATAGTAAATTATCAAATCACTTGAGGAGGATGGTTCCAGCCTTAATGAAATATCCACCCTCGTTCCGGACTCATAATGGCCAACACTGATGAACAAGAATAAGAACTTTCAATAACAGTATATTGCCTTCGCATGCATGCGTTACAATGTGGTCAATGAATAATCAGACTCCACTATATATAGTAGGAAAATCCTACTCTAGGTACAATTCCGTAAAAGGTAAAAAATCTTTTGATTAACTAATCTCCGGTTCTTTATCGATACGCGCCGAGATTCACGCTGTGATACCGACATTCACGCCGTGATATCCGGCTAGTTGCGGATATCACGGTCTTCCGTTGGTCGTGCTTGATCGTCTGGTAATGTTCCCTGAGGCCTTTGGGGATCGAACCGGACCTGGGGTTATGGCCCCGATATTCCGGAGGGCAGTCATTTCACCCGGACCCCGGATCGAGGGGATCCTTGCCTCGATTCTGATTCCTTGCCTTTACGTTCCTTGCTCCGTTTACTTTATCGAAAATCGAGGTATACCATGAGCTCGGTTTTACCCGTATACAGATAGTCCACTCGTTTCTCGGAGAGTAAGTTGACGAGAAACGACATGAGCTCTCAGATTTCTTCTTCAATACGCCGTGACAGAAACGATAAAGAACCCGATACGTCTCGTGAATCATGTCATTATGACCTCAAACGCTGTCTCTGGACGCGAAACGTCGCGGAGCCCCTATAAATATCCCCTGCTTCTTTCATTTTTTTTACTTTACGTCTAAACTTCTACCCTCGTGTCTTCAGGATTTCATTACCCTTTTTATATTCTAGTATTTTTTACGTCTGTTACTCAAGATTCCTTAGTAAATGCAAGTTTCTACTCAGTCTCTACCCAAGCCACCACACCTGAGCTTTCAACTTTGGACCTTTCTCTATCTTTTTCAGATAACAATGGCCAAAACCTCGAAATCTGTTCCCCAAAAGGTCGCTTCTACTTCCTAATCGACTGCCAAAATTAATGAGACCACTCCCAACGTGGTCAACCTCGAGAGGTCTGCTGACGTGGCTACCGATGAACCGACTGCTGAACCTCCCTTGAAGATGTTCATTCCCGGGGGTTGTTCGGTCACTGACGACTTCAAGGTTAAGAAGCCCCCTCAGTGCAGGGTCGGCATGAGGAGGCCTCGAGATATATTTTCTCAATCACCAAAGATGACCTCCCCGCGGTCCGAAAGGACTGCAACTGGGCCAACAAGAACATAGTGACCCTTGGCTCCGAGGAGCCATTACTACCCATATTGAGGGATACCTAAGTGTTTATATTTATCCCTTCACACTGGGCCCGGTGGACCCCATCATTATAGACTTCTGTAGGAGGTACGAGGTATTCCTCGGTCAAATCCACCCATCACTGTGGAGGATCATAATACTCCTTCTATTTCTTGTAAACAAGATCGACTCCTGTCGGTTCACTGTTGATCATCTACTCCATCTGTACAGTCCCTAAATATTTCGAGGGGGACTGATAAAGCTCGTGCACCAAGCTAGCAAAGCCCCATTCTTAAGAATCGATGAGGACCGGGATCGAGGCTGGTAGGGACGCTTTGTTCGGGTGAGGACCTCAGACTAGATTCCGGCCGAATTTAGGCCATTCCCCGAGAAGTGGAATGCATCACATACGTACAACTTTCCTTTGAATGTCGATTCCATGTTCATCTCCCTTTTCATCATTGGTATTTGTGGTGGTGAAGCTGTCGCAAGTCCGAAACGCTATCCCTCGGTTCAAGGAGTGGATCGAGGGTATAGTCTCACATATGCCCTACTCCGAGCTCTCGTGGCGCAAACTCTCAAATGGCCGTTGGGAGGCTCGTTCCCATGGTAAGATTTCTTTTCTGAGTAAGTTGCATTAGGCCTTTTCTTCTAGCATCACGTTCTTACTTCCTTTATTTTTTTTTCGCACTTTTGCAGGCTTCGGTACTCCATAAAGAAACCTTTCTCCGGTACCGGGCTGAGCTTAGACAGCTCGAGGTTGAGGTTAAAAAGTTTGCTGAGAAGAGGGATACGTACAAGCTTCTCAGCGAGCAACACGAAGGAGAAATTGAGAAACTCCGGGCTGAGCTGGATGCGGTCCAGAAAGAACATGCCGGCCTGGTGGAACAGGTAAAGATCTTTGTAGTTACTGATGACGAGTTAGACATGGCGGCTAATGGTCAAAACCCGCAGGTCCAGCAGAAGCTTGACCGGATCGACCAACTTCGAGCCGAGATGGACGAAGTCAAGTCCGAGGCCCAAGAGTGGAAGGGCAAAATGGACCATTTGGCTTCGGAGAAGGAGACTTCCCGGGAGCAGCTGGCCTCGGCGGAGGTTCAACTTCGAGCGGCAAGGGATAAAGCGAAGGCCCGGTCCCAAAAAATCGAAGACCTTCAGTCCCAACTGGGCTCGACTATCGCTGAACGAGATGCCCTTAACAAGGAGCTTAAAGCAGCTACGTCAGTGACGGAAATAACCAGGGCCGATGTTGAAGAGATGGTGACCCAGTACAGAGCTAACGTTGAGGCAGCCCA